CCGCTGAGGAAATATAATGTTTGGTTTGCTAGCGAGCGAGAACTGATTTGAGAATAATTGCACATGCGCGTGAATTGAATGAACTATGACCCGTACAGTCTTGTTATTTGGTTACTCATGCAAATTAGGCAATTGGACATAAACATTGCCACGTGTGAGTGTTTTTTTATTTTTAACCAGAAAATAAACAGCAATTTTAACGGTGTTCCAATAAGAATTCATTGGTCAAATTTTCACAGAATGTTCTTTAGATAAAAATCTATATAAAAAACGAAAAAAACTATTTTTGATTGAAATTCACAAATAAAGTGCATCTCTACCTTAATTGTAATGTGCATTGCTAACAGCGGAGCTATCTCAGCCGAGAATGCTGTTTTGAAAACCATATTGCTAACATGGCTAGACTGATCATGCTCAAACTTTACGCATTTACCATGTAAAGGAAGAAATCACACAAATAAACTGGCTCCACTTTGTATCATGTCTGTCATATTATAAGTGGGAATAATTATTTGGCACTATGTTGACAGTCACTAAAAACTGGACAGAGACTTGACATTGACAATGACTTGTTAGAACATGGGCTGCATGCGAAACATGCATGTTATGACAAAACGTTCATGAATTGTGTAACCCCGATTTAAAATGTTGTGCAACAAATACACCTATTTGAATGCTCATTATTGCTTTCTGATTTTTCCAGGCTTTGAGAGTGCTGAACCCGAAAGTGTCTTTATTACAAGAACAGAGCATATCTACAGCATCGCCAAATTTACCTGTCAGAAAAACAAAATACAACATAACAAAAAAACCACAAGCTTTTGTGTCAGTAAGTTTTACTATACTATCTTTCCATGTTCTGATGGAGAAAAAACATGCAATGTAATGGCCATTTTGTTATCTCATAAGAAGTACAGCATAAGCACTGGTGTCGCTTCACAAGATGCTTTCAGTCTACCAGTGATTGAGGTTTTTGTGTTATCTTATCTTAGCTTGATGTTTAACCATTTCATATCTTTTTTTCCTATAGCCAAACACCAAGGGACCTGTAAAGTGGGCTGATCTACTGACCAGTCCTGAGAATGACAAAGCTTTTAAAGTAAGCACCCAATATACAGGGCAGTTTTCTGATAGATGCCATTCTGATAGACCTTGTATTTTACCAACTATGATAAGTCTTATTGACTCCTAAGTGCGAAGCACAAAAAGGGAGTCTTTGCAGTTAGTGTGTCTGTATGTGTGTTTGTATGTGTGTCCGGTTTAAAGAACCACTCATTGGACTTGGCACACAGATGCTCCAAACTAATGTGCAGATTTGATTAGTTTTGGGTAAAAATCTGTCCAATATTAATTACCTAATTTGCATAATGATAAATCAATTTTCGGCTTTTCCACTGATATCTCAAGTACTAATCATCACATTTCAATAAAACTTGGTACGTAGATGACATAGGACACTGCACAAACCTCATAGTTTTTAGGGTAATATCAGTAGATATTAATTACCTAATTAGCAAAATTAATTAATTTTCAGCTTTTGATATTTCAAGTAGTAATTGTCACATTTCAATGAAACTTGGTACATAGATGTCATAGGACACTGCACAGACCTGATAGTTTTTAGGGTAATATGAGTACATATTAATTACCTAATTTGCATAATTAATTAATTTTCAGCTTTTGATATTTCTAGTAGTAATCATCACATTTCAATGAAATTTGGTACATAGATGTCATAGGACACTGCACAGACCTGATAGTTTTTTGGGTAATATCAGTATATATTAATTAGCTAATTTGCATAATGTTCTACTGATATATAAAGAACCACAAATTGGATTTTAATGAAACTTTTAAAGCGAACTATGCAGAAACCCAATTAGTTTTTGGTAAATATTTATGCTTATTAATCACCTAATTAATATAATTAATTAACACTGATATCTCAATTACTGATCATCACAGTTGAATAAAATTTGGTACATAAGTGCTCTAGGACAATAGACAGGCCTGATTAATTTTGGGTTAAAATTTGTTCATATTAATTCTCTAATTAGCATAATAATTCATAATTTTTTTGTTCTGTTCTGTTCATATTAGTTACCTGATTTACATAATTAGTTTTCAGCTCTTCCATCAATATCTCATGTACAAGTAATTTTGAATTAATTTTTAATGTCTTCAATACTCTCAGCACAAGGGAGTTCTTTCTAAGCTTCCTTTGATTTCTTAATTGTTCTGTTCAGTATTGATTCATGTTTTTATTTACAGGAAAACAGCCTTCCTATGATGAATGATGATACTAAGGATTACTGTACTCCTTACAGTATGATTCAACAAGAGAAACAACAGCATGAACTTGCAGCAAGAGAAGAGGACCTGAAACATCTCAGGGTAAATGAAATTATATTCATGCAAATATCACTGATTTATAAGTTGAGAATAATCAAGTCTGACAATAGGGACTTGATTGACCTCTGTGTATGTTGTCTTCACCTGTGTTTTAGACATGCCTGGTACGATCACATTCAAACTTCACACATACATCACACAATCTTAGGCGACACATGCACATTAATTGTTTCATGATCTAATTCAAGATGGCCGAATTGTGGTTATCATCAAAATGCAATTCCAAATCTGATCTCCGTTGTGATTTGAAGAATTGCATTCAAACTCTCAAAGTACATATATATTGGGCCTTATGGGACTTGATGCACAACTTTAGATTCAAATTGGCCATTCTGTTTTAGTGAATACCGGAGCCATGTCCATGTTCAAACTTTGTACACATGTCACACATATGCAATTGTATTCATTTAACGATGAGATACAAAATGGCTGACGCACAACCATTTCTGCCATTTCGGAAGCGAATGAACTTCGTTCAAAAATGGTACATACAATGGACATATTGCATCAATGTGAAGCTACCTACAAGATTGTACCTGATTGTCTACCATAACAGTCTGACTAATCAGATAGTATCTTATTTGTCAACAGTTATTTTTGTCAAATTCTGCCTTATGTATGTGCTTCAACTGAATTATGGCACCTTAATGCATTTTTTGATTTTCAAATCCGATACAAAATTGCTGACTGTCGACCATTTTGTTTTAATAAATGCAGCTCTTGATTCAAAACTATTCAAACATTATACATTTATAATTCAGACTATGCTTATTTGCAAAGCATATAATATGTTTTGTCTGTTCGGATACAGTGATTATCACTCATTTTCTGTTTTTGCAATCAAATACGTTTGATTGACAATTGCACATAATGCTTAAGAGTTTCCATTCTTGTGAGATGGCATATCACTGTACATGTTTATGAAAGTTGTATATCCTTATCTTATAATTCCTTGGCATTAAGAATATGGCTGGTGGTCATTGTATTGCATGAAAGAAGCACACTGACTACTACTTGTGTAAATTTGCTGTGATTGTTTTTATCTTTAATCAGTTGGTAAAGGTGACTGAGTAGAACTATTGATATAACTGTTATTACATCACTCTGATTATGGCAAGATTCTCCATTTTTAATTCTGATAATTTGTATTTTCTCTAGGAAGTTGAAGAGGCTGAGCGACTACTTGAATTAGAAATTAAACAACTGGAACAAAATGATTTGCTTAATGTACCATTGTTAATGAAGAACGGCCAAGAGCCGTCACAGCCAAATATAGCGTCATGTGCATGGGGTACCCCAAATCAGACGTCATCGGCTGTTGCCATGATGACTCAATCAACGCATATCCCTTCCAGTTTGAATCATAGTCCTGGTAGTCATTGTTCAACTCGTCAATATGAACAACAGAACACATTTTCAACTGTTGCGGCTACACCTACCAATCATGCAGTAGCTTTAAACAAGACTCCACAGAACATGAACTTGAATCAACAGCAACATCAATCAATAGGTGGTGAGAATGAAAATCTGATGTATTCACATGGATCTGACAAACAATTTCAAGACCACAATTATCGCAATCAGCCAACCTCACTACAGTCATCTTCATATCATAAAACAATTTCAGCAATACCTCAGCATGGTCTAGGTGGGTCACAGCCAGTGTACCAGAATGTAAATCTGATGTATACACATGGATCTCAACAACAATTTCAAGATCACAATCAGCCAACCACACTGCTGACATCTCAATGTCATGAAAAAATTCCATCAGTATCTCAGTATAGTCTCACTGGGTTGTTGCACACAAACATTGATCCACTGGCGAATCCGTGTGAACCACATCTATCTGATTCAGCAATGAGACCTCTGTTTCATCATGCATCAGCTCCAGACCACTTGTACCAGCAATCGTTGTACCACAATCAACATCAAGCGAGTAATTCAGTTTTCAGTTCTTGTACTGGTTCTATTTTAAATTCAAATGGGTACTCAGAAAAGGCCAGGCTTTACGAAGCCCATGTCAGTAATGATAAACTGTATTCTTTACCAAGTCATGCACAAACAAGTGATTTAAGACTCTCGTCATATGGCAGTTCAGCATTTAAGTCATCAGCCGGGATGCAGTTACCTACCACTGCACATGTGAACACTGTCAGTTCAGTACTGTCGCCCGTTTCATCACCCAAAGTGACGGCTTCAAAGAAATCTGATTTCAACCAAACATCTACAGCTTTTAAACCAATCAATTTATTTCCCTCTGACACTCTTTCATCTGTCAAGTCTGATTTGGAACATGGCACTAGCAGACCATTGAATGCTTGGAATCCAGCTACAAATGCCATAACCACTGGACAACAACACCCTGTGTCAACTGATGAATCTCAGACTTCAAAAACTCTCACCCAAATTCCATCAAATATTGCTGCAGTCTCCTCACAAATGGCCACAACTTCATCCAACTTTTACCAACAACCATATATCGATACCAAACAAGAAACAAAGGCCTTGAAAGATAAATCTTACCTATTCAATCAGACACAAGAATCTAAAAACAGTGAATCGTTTTCTCTTGTGCCTTCTTCTGTGTCTCAACAAATTGCTGTAGCAACTACTACTTCAACACCTTGGACTGCCATACACTCTACTGCAAAGTCTTTGCAACGTTCGATCCACACACCAAAGCCAATTGTAGCCGGGAAAACAACATTGTCTCGCTATCTTCCTCAGACACCATCGTTTTCCAAGCATGCATATGCAGACATTGACTTGCCAATTAGAACTCCATTGGCCATGCAAAGTTGCAGTCAACTAGTCACTAAAGAACCGATTCCCCTTAGTCTCTCTGTTGACTCTCCTGCTGTAAGACCAATTTCTCCAGAAGCAAGAACGACTATATTTCATGACAACAGATTGCCTGTTTCGGAAAAGAACAATTTCCCACTTGATCACTCATCAGCAGACAAAGACCATGCAGTTCAAAGCTACAAAGCTGAAACTTCTGCTTGGAGTTCAAACAGATTTACAAGTGGTGGTCTAAATAAAGCATGTTCTCCAGAAAGCAAATCATCTGTCTGTTCTGCACCTGGTCTTTATAATCAGAAGAGGATTCAAGGTTCACTTTCACTCGGTGCTAACATGAGGTCCAAATCTCCTGTTGGTTTGCATTCACTGAAACACAGAACCATAGGTAAGCCCATTGGTTACAATGGTTTGTTAAAAATCTTTTGTGATTTTGTCAAAAATCTGAAACATGAATAAAATAAAGTACTGAATTTTGTAAGAACAGTTGTGATAAATTAGCTAAAATTAAAACCATACTCAATTAAGAGGGGGGAGTTGGTGCCAGTTGGCCATGGACAACCTGCATAACAGAAACTGGACAATAGGGAGGCACCTTACCTTTCAGCTCAATCCATTTCACCACAAGCTGATCACAAGAGAATTAAGTACACTGTGCCATCAATCTAGAGTACCAATAACTGATGATATTACATTACATTGTTACTTTCTACCAGTACTACCATAAAATCTCTAATTTATGCATCATTTTTTGAACATTTCAATCTTGACGCCTAAATTAGAGTCTAATTTAGTTTTTCCCTGTAGTCATTGATGTCTATTCAGGAGTATGATGTTTATTGTGGCTAGCGTGATTTGTTCCATCAATGAGCTTGTTATCACCATAAAAAGTGTTAAATTATTATTCAATGCTCAGTTTTTGATTTAAAGAAAAAAATCGTGCCGTTTTCCCATCAAAATCAAAGCCAAAAGATTGTACTTGCAGCATCAGTAATCAGATCAACTCAAGTATGAAAAAACATACAAACAAATTTTTAAAATAATTTCATATTACATTAAGGTAGAAGCCTACTCATAAAGTTAAAAACCAAGAATTTATTCATTTTGCAATAAATTGTACTCCAAGGCAATCTAAGGATATTCAACCTAAAAAAAGTTGGGGTCACCAGCCTTTTTCAAGAAATTGATAGTTGTATTTTAGTGGAAAGTCGCCATTTTGACACTATTATAACACTTTTACCACAGGTTCCTATGGCAGAGATATTATGCTATATCTCAAAATCTAACCTGTGACATAGACTGAAAAAATCATATATTGTTAATGATGGAGTACTTTTTGTTCTGAATTATTTAAAACATCTGGGTTTTAAACAGTGTCAAAAAATGCATTTTTTCTTTAACATTGTGTTTCATTGAATAGCAATTTTCAAGAAATATTAGGACACTTTTCTCAACAAGTATAACTGTAACACACAAAATAATGTACCATGAGACATTAGCTTCATGATTGTACATAATAAACTAATGAACATTGTCATGCGATTTATCACCAATTTTGTCAAATTTTATGACTAGGCTTCTACCTTAAATATACTGAACATAAGGATATTTTTCTTGATTGACTAATTTTTCAACATTTTATGACTCCTATTTTAGAACCAAATTAGGGCCTGTCCCTGTTGCCTAAATTACAGTACCGTATATACAGTACAGTCTGAGGGCAACTTAACTCCCTGGCTGGCTGTCAACTGACTTTGCTTTGTTCAATTTCATTATCTAGCTAAACGTTAAGTTTAGTTATAAAGTTACACTCTGACTGTATATACCAAATCATTCTACAAAATCTTTTCTTGCATATTTCAAAGAATATAGTTTGACAAATATATGATACATCTGATTGTCTATAGTTTTTGCCACGTATTTGTATAATTTTTATAATTTGAGTGCCATTTAGTGGTAAAGACAACGCCTTTTGAACAACTTTCATACTTGCCAGTGCCACTGCTATATATAATTTCTGTGGTATTTTCTCATTTTTAAGTCACTATACCTGAAACTATTTTTACTCCCTACAGGAAATCAACACTTCCATGATGCGCTTCTAGATAGTGAAGTTGCGCTATCAACATGCAGGTCACTCAGCAAGTTTAGTGCGAAACCACGTGTGGAAAGAAACTTCATGAATCCTGTTGCTAAGATACTAGATGGTGGAGATGACATGGTAGGTTGTTTTATACATGTGAAACCTTCAATACATCGTTGTTTGACATATACGGTACCATTCAAATCAGCTATTTGCGAAGGCTTTCATCAGGGGAGTTGTTAACCATAAACAAAAGAATAAGGAGCTGAGGCATTTCTTTCATGTAACATTGAATAGATATGGATATATAATAAATGTTGCTCGTAAACAATATTTGTATGTTAGCCAAATGCAAGGTGTACCATTATTCCCACATGTGTGATTCCTTACTTTCCTCAAAGATATATACTATACTATACTATAAACAGATTAATTTTGGCTGTCGAAACCTCATTGAAATTCATGATAATTGCTGTATAATATGTAAATATGTGGTTGCGAGAATATTATCATGATGGGAAAGGTACATATTACAGAAAATGTCTGTCACAATTATTAAATTTTAGCCATTATTTTCCATGCAAAATTTCGTTTAGATATAGATATTATCATACATGAAAATGTTATATTGTTATAGGAGAGAAAATATCATGCGTTAAACAGTATCTCAAATGAAAATATCAGTCATTTGATTTTTTATATTTATATATTATACTCTGGCTGGCACTCCTTTTACGACGGTCATGAAAACAGAACAGCTGGGCAGTGTAAATAAATGTGATTCGTTCAAGAAGAAACATATTAAAATTACTCAATCTAGTATGCATGAACATCATTTAATATCTTGAATGCGCCGGTTTCAAAACTACCTGATTGTCACATATAAATTTGAAATGCTATTGAATTCCAAGAGGTACCGGGTATTTACAATGTCAACAACATGTCACAATTGCATTATACATGTGCATAAATGGGCATCAAAACATTCATGCCAAGAATTCATTTGAATTCAAGCCTTATTTTAGTTTTAATGCTTTATATAAGCTGTTGCATGTATGATAAAAGTTATTCATCGTCAACAAGAAAATACTGTGTTATACAGGTATCACTCGTTTTTATGTTCTATATTTTTAAGAGTCACATATCAAAAATAAAAACTTGTATTTCAATATCTGCCCTGCATGGAAAAGATTGTACCAAGCAGTACTTATATCTTTAGTTTGTATCTAATCTTGAATTGAATTCCTATTTGTTAATTAATGTCTACATTCTCATGAGACAAGGTTGTAAACGTTACGCTACGTTATTATATATGTAAATTTTTTGATTTTGTTTTTTTTCTCATTGAACAGCATTTCATTCCAATTAAAGAAGTTTTTACCAATCAGGCACTTATACCTGATGGATCTGCCTTTTCGACGTATACTGGTGTATCATAAAGACTCTGTCAAGGATTATACAGCTTTCATCATGTTTTCAACATTAGGCAAACTAATGACCTGCTCACATAAATAATTGTGTAATGTAAAATATTTTCCAAATAATAGTTTTGTACACTTTTCAAACATAATTTTCATACCCCCCCCCCCCAGTGCAGATTGTAAATAGTTAGGTAAAATTAAACGTTTTTGTCATACAAATATTTGATTGGAATATTGTAAATCTGTACATAACATTTCTATATTTTCTACAACTTTTAATTATAATAATGGAATGAGTATGTCTTGTATTTACAAATCTTGAGAACAAATGTACCGGTATAATAGTGGGAGCAGAATTTCTCACGGGTAGTTCAATTGACTTTGGCAGTTGATGTGTATTTTATTATACAATACTTACTCTATTAGGAATGAATCACCAGTTAATTAAAATGCATGTAAGCCGAAATTTATATTTTGACATCAAAATAAAATCATCTTACTGTTAATATGTAAATTATTGTTGTGAACATGAATTGTGCTTGTATTTTCTTGAAGTGCCTCTAACACGTGTTAGCAATGTACTTTGTTTATAACATTTGTTACTGGTATTACTAATTATGTTTACAAAGCTGTATATAAATGGGCTTATTTACCATAAATATATCTGTTCCAAGAGCTCTTGCTATCCATTTATTGATAAATAACTAAACAAAAATAAATTCGACTAAACGTTTTCCAGTATCACTGATACAATGTAAACCTGAAATTTATGACAAAATAGACTTGATGACCAGTTTGGTTAAAATAATTTGTTAGTCATAAAGGGCCCAGAAGTCTGATATTTTTAGTCCCCATACGGACGGAGTTCGAAAACAAGACTTATCAATTCACCTCTGTATTTGCGTGCTTGCATGCCTGGACCGATTACATTCAAACTTCACATATACATAATGTTTATGTTCCAACTACATGTATATTACTATAAACAAAACTCTACATCTTAAATTTGATAACTAACTGGGACTGTGCCATGCATGGCTGTGTCCAGCAGTTTGCTTCTTTTACACTGAACTCTTCAGTGTCTGAGTTTCCAGTGTAAAAAGAACTGTGTTTTGATCAGTCAGTTTGTGTACACATAATAAAATAAATGTAATTAATTAATTTCTGATATGGGGGCATCCATCTTGAAATGTGGCTTGAAACTAAACAGAGACTAGTTGTGAAACAGGTTTTTCAGATTCCTACAAATTATGAAAAAATAACAAATTTTCACTGCAAAATAATCTGTTAAAACATTAAGTCAACTGCTAACAGAATTCAGCTGAATTTGTCATTTTTGTATCCCATTTTGAAGAAGCGATTTTTGGCTGTTGGAACCCCGAGACTATTTAGGAACCAGAATTTTCAAAAAAAACAGTCCACCCTTTTTCATTCCCAAGTTGAAGTGAAATCTTACAAAGCTGGTAGTGTTGTACTTGTGGAAAGTCATAAATTTATTAAAAGTTTAATTAAACTCAGTTCAATGCAATTTAACATAGAATTGCATTTTAATTCAAGTTTAATTAAATAAAAGTCGAATATCCTGTGACTAAATATAGAAATGTTTGCAAAGCTTAGGTTTAGTAAGGTATATTAATATTAATTCAAACTTAAATTCGATTAAATATTAATAGAAATTATGAAACAAAGATTGGGGTCATCACTTGGTAGGTCTGTCGTCACTTGGTAGGTGTAAAGTTGAATGAAAGTCGTCAGTGTTGATACCATACACTCAAATATGCACACACACAGTCTTTAAGGGAAACTCAGATGTTCGTCTGTCATTTGGGGCATTTGCTGTGGAGACACTGGACATGTCCATTCCACACATTATTTATCCTCGTCAAGCAATAGCTCCAACCAGTCTTGGGGTAAGAGATCAGAGGTTGCATGCTTCCTGTCCAGCCCTAATCAGAGATGGAACATATTTCATGCAGTAACTCGCTGTCTCAAGTAACCGACCCAGTCCCACCATTGCCAAATCACCGGGCATAACCAGATTTTCTCATTATCACTCGGCAGTACTGGCTTCACAGAGAGTAAATGCTGCCAAGAGAAAACATGTGCAATACAGAAGTCACTGCCTTGCTAAGCCAAGCATACAATCTAAACATGTCAAAGAGCTTAGACCCAGGCTTTTATGCACGTCTGTTCAGGAATGGCAGATGCGTTCGTTCATGGATCTGTCTGATTAGAGTACACATCTCAAATTAGATCACCAGTGTGAGTTCTGAACGATTTTTTGAAAGACACTTAAATATTCCACTGTACCCAGACAGTGAACACCTCTTGAGGTTGGGGAGTCAGTATAGCATTACAGAGTCCTCCCTAATTGCATGTTCACTGCACAACTGATATTCACAATAGTGTGACAAGTAGTAGTACTACAGCTACACTTATGGGACAACTATATTGATGACGTGTTTTCCCATAACCAATTGAAAGAAAAGCTGAATAAATGTTTACTAGCACCCTTTTGTGTTTCTGATCAATGTTTCTGGTCTACCTGGAGATGGAAATAAACATCTGCAGTGTATTTTCCCACCCCTCAGAGAAACTCTATGAGAAGATCTTATAGGACTAACACATTGGAACAATGAGCATGGTGGGGAAAGTTAATCTGAGTGACAAGCTTGGTGTCACCTGCCACCTTGAAACTGAAACAAAAACTATTGTTCGACGTACAGGAACCTAACTTTTTCCTATAGGACAACCTTGTTAGGTGTCTAGATGTTTTTCAGTAGTTGACCAACCCTGATTATTTGTTCAGGGTTCCTACCCACCTTACCTGACTGTCTCTTCTAGCAGGCACAATCAAACTTTGTATTGGAAGCCAACTTGATGGACAAACAAGCATTGGGTCTCTGGGAAGAACAAGCAAGTTTGTATGTGAATGCAAAATGTCTCTTCCTTGCAGTAGAAATCCAGACTTGGGATGAACTGCACAACATTCAGCTAGAGTGTAAATACAAAATATAATACTTTTATACTATGTAGAAACAACATTAGAGTGGCAGATTACAACGATTGTCTTCAGAATCGCCACAAGACTGCTTCGATGGCAGTGCTCAGGAAACTGTCAATGTCAACCAACTCAATGATGACATTAATGGCCTCATTCTGGTCAAAAGTGGACCCATGATGTTACCACATATATCAGTGGATCATTGCAGTCAACTGTGCAGACTTGCTCACAATTCCGGAAAGAACACTTACACATTCATGCCTATAAATTATTCTCTGATCAGCACTGTTATGGAGACTATCCCTGTTGTGTTATAGAAACTTGTAGTATTTCAGAAATTGGTGTTTACTATTTTACATCCAACCTTTCTATTCCTCTACACCTCAACTAGTTAGATTTCTGTACTAAGCCAGCTATACAGGAAAAAAGTATCTTCTACAGTGAACACCACCGAAGTATCATCCTAAAAGTGAGTCTAGGTAGAGGAATCTCCCAGGACACAACATGGTTCAATCCATTCTGAGAGGCCTTGCCTCTTTATCGCTCAAGCCTTAAAAAACTAACATCAGCCGGCTGCAACTTTTGTTTCGCTCCTGGTACATGCATATTATGCCTTCAATATTCCTTGTTACCATGACAGCTGGGCTAATGGTTTTTCAACATATGTGACTATATGCAGATGTTCAGTAAGAATAAGGGGAAGAGATCTGCTCAAGTGAAATGCCATAAAGGGACTCGTAATCAGATGCCATGGTCTTCTTGACATCGACGTGCATGAGTTGGCCGTCTATGTTCCATGTCTAAATCACGTCATGGGCAAGAACGATCCTGAGTGCACGGTTCTCTGCACAACAACCACTTCTGTTGTCCCCCCTAGCAGACGTGGTCATCATACGCCTCGGGCATACGGCCCTCGATGGATGGCCGGACCAACTAATTTTTGCTTCCTTACAGCCTTGAATTACCTATGTTTACAGGTAAGTCTTACTAACTTGAAAATGTTAGAACAAGCGAATACTTATATAGATTTACGGGTCTTTTTCATTTGCAATTGACTGACCACTTTTTACTGTACTCCATCTACTTTACGTCATTGTGGGGCGTGAATATCTCCTTATTTCAGTGTGTGTGAATGTTCTGATGGTTGTCTTTCAGTGCTTACTTTATTGGGAATGTATGCAGTACTTTTGAGACAGATATAGTTATAAATTTAAGTGATTAACATTTCACATGGATGTTACCTCAAATGAACCACTCTGCCAAGAAAGAATATTTGCTAATTTTGCACTCTGTGTCACCGACTAGAAGTTTAGTATATCAAACTAGACTTGATTGCAGTCTAACGCGAAAGTCATGTGACCGCGAAATCCCAACAGACTTGCCATCAGTGTAAGCGCTCTCACATTATCCGCCAGAATCGGGCTTGTTTGAACGCAAGTTTTCGGGATCTAAGTTTATCCAAGAAAGTATGGTTTCCGGGTCTCAGTTGATAAGTTAATTAGCCTGTCTTCTGATTGGTTGACCCATATTACACATGTCAATAATTACAAACAAGTAGAAGAAACTACCTCTGAGTCACTAGTGTTACGAATGATTTATTAAAATATGCACATTGTTCCGATCTTTTGGTGGATCTTGTTTACTAGTATTTCACATATCGGCAATACGAATAATTCAACAATCACAAGCCACAATCGATTCAAGTAGCATGTATGTTTATGACTCACTTATCACGCGGTTATCTAATTTCTAATTCTAATTCGGGGTTCTCCATTTCAATATAGACTGCATTATAAAACAGATCAGTTTTCTGTCACACGTTCTAGAGTAGTCTTCGACAGTTTATCCCGGGCAGTTTATTCAGGATTTAGTCCATAAATAAGGTAGTCCATCAAATGCATGTCATTTCCACGTACGTAGTGTGCGCTCACTAGGCTATCAGAACAACACTGCCTGCCCTGAAACATACAAAAAACATGAACAAGAACAGACTGGTGAAATTTAATTAAAAGGGCGGCAATGATCGTGCTGCGTCATGTTCGATATGGGACTCACAGCGACGTATACAACGCGTGTAAATATATTGTTTATTTACATGAAATCCGAACACGCGCTGCGCGACGACCACCGCCCTTTACGCGTTACGCGCCTTGTATACGTCGCATGGGACGCACATCGAACAGGACGCATCGTGGCGTCTATCGCTTTTTAAATAATGACGCTTTCGTTGCACCTGTCTACACTGTCTGTAAAATACATTTTTTTTACAGCGCAACAAATGCATTCTCTTTATATTATAAATATGCACCAATATTTAGTCATTTCAATGGCAATTGAGTCTATCCAAAGAGCACAGTGCGTAACAACGTCATTTGAAAACGTTCCAAAGTTATCTAATCGGCCAATAGAAACACCTCGTTTCAGTTTAAATTGTAAAATATATAATTATTTCTAAAAATGAAGAGAATGCTTAGGATAGAATACAAGAATTTCGAAGGCGCACATACAATACCGCTTTATAAAACAAATTATTAAAATTAGATTATGTTGACAAATTATTATGAGAAAATAATATACTCACTGATCTTAACGGATAATATTCATATTCATACATCCATTTGGGGTAATTACCGTTGAAATGATGGAAAAGTGATAAGGGAAGAAAACGTTGTCTGCCTCTGGAATCCCGTGAATCTCCATGTACTACACCAACTCTCTCGAGACATCTTCCCATTAAATAATCCTCGGCACCCATATCGTTTTGCTCGCACGCAACGGCGTTTGGCAGTCCGAGCCTTACAAATCTTGCCAGAGCTGCTTTGCTGAGTACGTAACCACCGCCTCCACTCATGTAACTCTGGCGGACGGAAGAAGGATAACGAAAACGGTGTCCAAAGAAGAGCGGCTTCGACGCGTTGTAACCACGGAGCATGCGCCGCAAATTTTCAACAACCACGTAGGTGTCGTCATCGACTTTCATGAACCAATCAGCATCGTTCAAATGATTGTTGTACACGTAAGAAAATGCTCTTTTAGTTTTTCCCCATAGTGTCTCGTAACCATCCGTCCCGCCCAGACCGATGATCGACATGTTGGAATCAGCATTACTACTAAGATATAATATCTTATTTGAGCGTCGTCCCCATGTCTCCTGTACCAGGGATAGCCGCTCAGAAGCCGTCTTAGAAGACGTCAACACAAAAATGAGTACCCGAACTTCATTTTTCAAATCATGATTCGATGATGCTGAGAAGTACTTATCTGGAAAGAAAAGCGAAATTATTCAATATTGTCATGGTTACCAGCGAACGATTCAGTTATTAACTGAAAGCTAAATAAAGAAATGGTGTAAAACGATTGGAACAATTGTACGATCTGTTACGAATGTTTCATATTGTAAAGTCATTAAGCATATGACATGTGCAAGTAATGTATTTTTATCAGTATTTCACTGCGCATGCGTGGGGTTAACAATTCCAGCATATCATCGACCAGTTCGAGCCGAATTCAAATTTCGCACTACTAAGCATATTACTACACACACACCAATGCATTATGGGTGATTATATTCCATTATATAATGGAAAACTATAATCACCATGAAGAAATTGTCTCATCCGGATGACATGAACTCACAAAAAATGAAAGTATAGTGGGCATAACATATATTCTTCAATTTGAATCGAACCTTCCCAATAGTTAAAATTGTAAAGGCACGGCATTATTAAAATTAACCAGAAATAAATCGAAACCAGCAGTCGTGAGCGCATTTATTTTGGAATGTTTATCATACTAATACTAGTCTGTCAAAATTGCCCGGACTATCACTCCAAATGTTCCATGTGATGCAAATATTGATTTGCATACGCGTCTAAAATGTGCCATATATAGATACACTCATGCTTGCACGCATTTTCTCTAACCAATAACATGTCCATTCAAGTTGGTGTCTGTATCATGTGATAAGTGAAAATGGTGAACGAATACCCCTAGAAGAAATAGAAAACGTGACTTACTATGCATGTTGCACTTTTTTGTTAAAGATGAATTTCGCTTTTTGTTTGAATGTTTGGGAGTCAAACAAATTGCACAATTTATCCCGTTCTTTATAAATTCGCTGTGTTCTTTCCTCAAAAAAAAAAAAAACAACAGCTACACTAAACAATGTTTTGTACATTTTGGCCTGTGGCGTCATGTAATGTAAGGTCTATCGTCGCGTTTGGGACTGAAATTAGAGGCTTACTACTTACATGGAAGAATTAGGTAGTTGTGCAACTACACGTTGTTTACGTAGTTATTATTATTATATATTAAAGTTAACCCGACTCACCGTTTGTCACATGGGGTTCACGCAGACTACTAGTGTTGGCTGAGATCTTTCCTTGTTCTATGTCCCTGTACTCTATGTTGACTAAGTCGCCCATCTGTTTCCGCCACATAGTCCGTGTGCGTATTTCATATGTGAACAGTACAATTCCAGTAAACACCAGCATTCCGATCGACAGTGTGGCTACCCACACGCGAAGAAGACGTAACAGGGACATCTCGCACACTTCCAAAGACAATGATATATAAATGCGCTGTTTGTATTCAGCAGATATTGTAATGTATCCAGGGGTGTAGATGAATTTTCCAACTTAGTCGTTACGTATGAATGCAATATCGAATTTTCCCATCGTGGAAAGCCATGATTTTTACATCTCCGAAACTGTACGATCCAGCGAGGTTTCCCATTAATTTTAAGCCACTATAGAATTGATAGAAAACATCAACATGTTGAAAAGTGGTCGATGAGAGTGGCGAACATGTTTTAAGTTGCTGTGTATATGTTGCCGTACGTACATCCAGTAATGATCAATATAGAACAGGTGTTACACTCCATAATGGGAAGTGTATTAAATTAGTATTACAATAATTTCATCTATAACACAATATTATCTATACACACTGACCTCTTCATGAAAATCACCTTCACGGTCGTGTCACCAATGTTGTGCGAATTATGTATATTACTATAGTGTAGTCGATGCATAATCAGGCGTGTAATGGGATTTTTGTGGGAGGAGAGACTAAATTTAAAAATGTGCGCATTGCCTGTTAGGACTGTGGGATTTATTATGTCTAACACAGAAAAAACAGAACAAGTATTTGTTGCATTACAGATGTAAACACTATATTTGCATAAAAACAATTTCTTCCAGCCATTTGTATTCCAAATTAGAAAAAAAATGTCACCTCGAGAAAACACTCCAATTAGTTATGTTCTAAGTATGTTTGATAAGTATATTAAAAGTGAGTAATTTTACAACGAAAAACATAGTAATTTGTAGAGTTTGCAGGTTGGATCTTTCTGTAAAATCTCACTGTCTCTTTGCTTAACACGTTCGGTACTTTTTTTTCTTTTCTGAAAATGACAGCACGTCATATGGTACATTTCCCACGGGGTGTGCAACACTATTAATATTCCGATTCTTTGTATTTATTTATTTTGCGTTATGTTACTTTTGAAGAACATTTACAAAACCAAAATACTGTATATCGATTCTTCAAACAAATACCATTATAAATGTGCTTATAACGTGTTTATTTCAATGATTCGACAGTATAACAAATATATTCCCAACTGCAAGCTCATAAATTAACCAAACATACTACATTACTCAAGGGTACACCCTAAAATTGTGCCCAATGGCAAGGATCTTTATAGTAGATATTCGTGCTCGCGGTTGTGAAGCCTACTCATGAATCTATTGTCCCATGGCACCATGAAATAGCATTCTTTTTTTGTGTTACAGTGTGTTACTTTTAATATGTTTTAAAAAAATAAATCGCTATTTTTAGCATAATTCCATAATAAAACACAATGTTAAAGAAAAATTGCATTTTTTTACCATTTTTTAAAACTCAGATTTTTGAAATAATTGAGGACAACAAAAAGTACCCCATCATTCACAATACATTACAATTTTCATATATAGTATAACATCTCTGCCATAGAACCTATGATAAATCTTACAAACTTATACAGGCAAAATGGCCGATATCCACTGAGTTAGCTTCTGCCGGTTCTACCTTTATCAAATTTATGCCACAGATGTCGCAAATTGGGAAAAGTTTACCACCGTAGTTGATGACATTTTTTTTTTCTCTTGCCGGCGAACGAGCTCCCCCATCGTCTTATTCATGAGAATAAGTCCGATAACCTCACTATAATGCGTAAATAGGGTCACGCGCCATCCTGCGGTAACTGGTTTCTGGGACTGATGGCAGAGAATTGTTTCATAAAGCTTTTTTTTTAGCTTTATGCTTGTACCAATCCCGAAAAAAAATATTTGAAATTATCATAGAAGATAATTCATCGCTTACGCAAATCTATCACTAACTGAAACAGTCAGTGTGCACGACGTCATGACTTTCGAATAGACATTAAGTTAAAGGGTCTAGCTAGGTCAAACTAATCAATATGGCGGCGTGTTCAATTTCTACTGAACAGGAGTCAAAGTCGATGTGCAAGGCGTCGCCGAAATCAGACAGGATTTTAAAGTGTTCATATCCTTCAGTAGTCGACAGGTATTTTAGGAGAGGGTACAAAATAGGTAAGTTTGTTTCCAAAAATGCTATTTCTAAAGCGTTTTTGTACCATGCGAAGAAAAGCCCCCCCCCCGTATTTGACATTTGTGTTCTAGTACTAAAATACTATGAAGTAGGGTTTTAATTAATTTGTACAGTGTGTATAGTAATAGTATATTTTATTTGGTAATAAATAATCTAGTGAATATTTAATTTATGAACATACACACCACAAGAACAATACAATATTCAAATTTACAAATATATAAAATAAATAATAATAAGTTTGTAGTTCGTTACACCAGGTTTCACGAAGGCGTGAATTTGTTTTATATCACATATTTATAAATGTTTATAAATTTTAAATGGTAATTGAGAGCAACCAATCACGAGCCTTAGCGTATAAATACCTCCAGTCTAGAACTCAGCCAGTTAACATTCTGATACAAACAATAATGGTATTACTTATACTTCTTAGTCTTTTAAATTTATTTCAGCGAACGAATCACTGTAATTTTGCTTTCATGACAGTAAATCTGTCAATGACTGAAGGGATCTCGCAAAGACTCATGGGTAAGGGGCGTTACCAAATAATTACTGTAGCCAATGAAACCCTGTTCTCTGCATTTGTAGGAAGTGCAAGGATTTTTTGGGATAAATGTTTTTAAAATATTTATAGATGTCCTAAAACAAAAAATGCCTTCTTGTAATCCACTGGTTATAGTTCAAATATTATTAAAAAATTCACCAAGATTGCAAATATATATACAAACAGAGGTACATTACTTGGGGTTCGCAACTACGGTGACATGATACCAACATCCCGTTTCAATCTTGCTCTTGCATAAGCGTTCCAACTCAGAAAAATGCGAATGCGCATGCCCGAGGTAACTAGGATACTGGGATGTCCAGGTGGATCAAAATAGCTGCTCACGATATGACGGATTACAATAACTATATTTTCTGTACATTTTCAATGTATTACATTTTTTCACTATGAATGTGGTAATACATGTTTTATTGTTTTATTACAAACCGCCTATGTCATGTCAAAAGGTAGTAGCATCAGTCTCGCTATCTACCAGATGAGACTTGAATGGGATCTTGGCATGACGTCACCATACACAGTACTCTGCGCATTGCAAACCCCAAGTAATGTACCTCTGATACAAATTATTTCCACATACAATTCATGCATGTAATTCATTGCTAGCAGACTGATCAGAACATATAATGCTATCTAAATTTTTCAATCGATATGGTATATGACATTTTGAACTTTGGGATTAGTCTCTTGAGCAATTATAATTAAATATTGTTTCATTTTCAAAAGCTTTTTCTAGTCTGTCAATATGTTAAAACACAACAACAACGACAACACTGAACACTCACTTCTGCATTTTGAATGTTATATTCTGAATTTTTCCAGTGTATGATTGAATTGGTAGCTTGACATTCCAGTTTTGATGAACAGATAGTTCAACACTTACTTTTTAGTGCAAAAATTGTTGTTTGACAGTACATGGACGTGAGGTTCATACTGTATCCCCCCTGTTCCTATTGCACGAGAGTAACCCCCCCCCCCCTTGTGGCTCTTTCACCGAAGCGAACCAAGACCCGTAATAGCTAATTACTAGTATCACTATCAATTTGAAGATCTTTCGTAATCACTCCGGTACTGTCTACAGGAGAGCAATTCCTAATTTCCCAGTCTTTTTAAACAAACATGGCCTGTAGAGGGTGCTATACGAATTGACTGTCCACAAGTCATGCAGCAGTGGTCGGTTCCTGTTTAAACACAGTCCCTCTATCACTGATCCAGTAACGACTATTGTTTTAGGTGTGAAACAACTTATCTTCTGGGGCCATCGGTATTCCGCAAAGCATAGCTATACAATTAGCATAGTGTCAGTCGTTGATTTCATACCTGCTATTATTCACCTTGTGTTGTTTCTCAAGGTGTTTTACCCCAGTCTCCATGCTGTGATTTGTATTGCCCCTATGCTGTTTTTCGAAGGTGTGAATCATCTGTTTACCCCATTCACAGATAGCAACAAAAATTAGGTTCCGCTGTTGCCAAGACTGATGATAGAGAGACTGTGGTTTAATGGTTTAACTAAGACACTAGCATGTTTGAAAATTTATTTTGTATAGATTATGGTTACAAATTAGTTATGCCCATTATAAAAAATAGCTACACATACATCCTGGTGTTGAAATATCAACATTACTGATGCGTAAATCATTGTATATTTTCCACTACCTCTGTCAATGATTGAAAGACAAAAAGTCATTAAGGTCATACGGTTCTCACAGATTGGTTTTGTTCATACCCTTGGACTTTGTCAGTGAACTTTTTACTCGTAAGCTTGACACATGTCGTATATGAGTGTATGCAATATTTTTTTTTCTCACGAGTCACTTTCAACCTTTTCACCTTTTTAACCCATGTGCTCCATCAGGTATTGTTAGATAGATGACAGTTGAAAGTTCCCTATTTTGCTGCTGGAACTAATTGCCAAATGAAAACAGAGCTTGCATGTTCTGAAATCAATGCAAGCAACGCCTCCCGTTTTTCCATAAACTAAGCTTAAAGGAAATTTCTCACAATATGGATATGATGTTATACTTTTACCCATAATCCTCTGCTCGAGAAGCAAGATAGTGGACTGATGAAAAGTCATATAAAAAACTGTAAATTGCATTTTCTTACATTTGTAGAGCTCTTTCATCTGTGAGCTTTATGTAGTTTTCCCAGATTTCGTATTCAAGTTATCGTAAAGCTTAAAAAGGCATTATTTTTTATGCTGTATAGATCAATGTAATACTGTATTCTCTGTTGTAGCATGCCATATATTTATGCTAATAACATGCAAATTAGTGGAAAGTAATTTTTAGTTGACTGAATGATGTGTGATGGAAATGAAATCCTGCCACTGAATACATCTGTTCCTGCTGGCACGAATATTATATTATGCATTTCGCTGGAATTTTGCCTGTTGTATTTCACTGAATTATGAAAACAAGCAGAAAAAACTAACAATAATAACATAGTACAGAATCGCATGGAATATTCATCGGTCAAAACTACCGTGGTTATAATAACTTTTAATTATGAGAATAATAACGTTTTGGCCTCCTTGTAAATAATTTTACATTAGTTTAAAGCAAAAATTTGTATTTATAGAAAGTGATAGATAATAAAAAAAAAAATTGTATAAACAAACAAATAGATAAATATAAGTTTGAGGGCCTCTTTTTGTATATATATATATATAGTCAGCTAAATTCATAATAATATTTATCTACTTAAAGGTAAATTTGTGAATATATTTTTAGTGTTATTCATTTTTGATGAAATTTTGATTTTACTGAAGAATATTTTCCTTTCAGTATATTACGACAATTCAATAAAAACAATTAAATTTTCATTACATCTTTTGCATATGCTGTTGATCTTCACTCTGTCCTAATGCGTACTTTGTATTCTTGTAGTAATATAAGGTTATTACGAAGATATTACGAAGTATGCACAAAGACAGTACAACGGAAGTATCGGCTGATGTGCAGAAGAGGTTGATGCAACGGCGTACTGTCTGAGTGCATACATAGGTATTCTCATAAAAACCTTATTATTATACATCTTTTCTTTCCAAGGATACACCATGGGAATGCCTAAATACAAAATGTTTAGAACAGAATCAGCGAACTTCTTTGTGTTGAATCCCGTAAAACTCTGGTGGCAGCCATGTTTTTTTTATTATTAGAGGACACTTACGCGCATAATCCTAATATGATAAGATTAAAATACCATGTAAAATACCTCAAAATTATGGCACACTGTAACTTATGGTGTTGCTGTGACAGATGTATAATAGTCTTAATTATTAATTATAACTACTAATTATTTTATGTGTTGTTCCATCTTGTAGATGTAAATGGCAGGCCTGGTGAAGATTTGTGTATTCTCCAGCATTCGAACAAGTAAGTTTTCTTTTGATTTAGTTTATCGTCTTGTATTTGTGATTTCAAGGTTCTATGCTAGACTCATTTTGTCTACTTAATGAATCTCTAACCGATAACCATTTTAATTAAATGTCTTATCAAAGTAGCTGGTTATACGGTCATTTTGTTCAACTTGCTCCTCAGTAAAAACTGAGAGATGAAATATTTTATTTTTTAATTTTAGATACAAATGCAAGGCTTGTTTTTGATACAGATGGAATTTTCTCATCAGCTTGTATCGTAGTTTTTTAGCTCCGCTGTCGACTTTGTCGAGCGGAGCTTATCATATGAGTGATTGTCCGTCGTCGTCTGTCGTCCGTGTCAATGTTTTACTTTTACGACTTCTTCTTGAAAACTACAAGCCTGAATGCTTTGATACTTGTTGTATATGTACCTTGGGTGGACCTCTCTTAGGTTTGTTCATTTCATGATATCTTCAATTCTCTACTTTTGGTGAATATTTTTGTCATTTTTGATAAAAAGTGATATTTTCAACTCCTTGTTAAAAACTGCAAGTCCAATTGCTTTGATATTGCATGTATTTGTACTACATGTGGACCTCTCTCAGATTTGTTCATTTTGTAATGATATCTTTAATTCTCTAATATTGGTGAATATTTTTGTCATTTTCGGTAAAAAGTGATATTTTCGACTTCTTATTGAAAATCGCTAGTCCGATTGATTTTATATTACATATATAGGTACTACATGTGGACCTCTTTCAGATTTGTTAATTTCGTGGTGATATCTTCAATTATCTAATTTTGATGATTGTTTTTGTCATTTTTAGTGAAAAGTGATATTTTTGAATTCTTGTTGAAAACAGCAAATCCCATTGCTTTGATACTATACATATTGTTCATTTTCTAATGATATCTTCTGTTCTTTAATTGAAATGTACTTTGCTAACAGCAGAGCTATCTCAGCCGACTGGCTGCTTGTTATTACACATCATTCTGTCCATCTGAACATATTTCTGAACCCTGTGGACCAAATATGTTCTTTCTTTGCATGTGCCTAGTACTTTATCCGGGACATAAGGACATACTGACTGGCAGCCATTTTGTTTTTTTTAATGTGGTATCTTACGCATGCCTTGTCACTTTTTGTTCAAATTTGATACAAACAGTATACATATTGGAATACATGTCCATGTCAGTTTGTTTCATAATCAGATCAAAGATGGCCGACTGGCAGCCATCTCGCTTTTTGTCCATACTGCTATATCTCTAAGGCTTATGGAACATTTTCATTCATATTTGGCACATACATCATACATGTAGGAATATATTATATTATACATGTTGAGATACATCTCCATGACGATTTGTTTCTTGTTTGAATCCAAAATTACCAACTGGCAGCTATCGTTGACATGTTTTGTATTTTTTTTTCAAATTATGCATGTCAGGACACATGTCCATGACAAACACAATCGATCAAAGATGGTATCTCTGTACATGAGCCTGGACAAATAAAATTAAAATTTCAAGTTGCAAATTTTTCTGCAAATTTTGTCATCTTACAGACATGACCAGCAGTCACATTGAAGCATGTGAAATGAAACTTGTTGTATCCCTAATTTGAATACTTGAAAAGAATACATGATTTTACCTGATATTTATGTACTGCTTTATTCGTAGCATTTGTGATTATGTAAATGACAGGTGTGTGTCCATAGTAAAAATAAGACATAAGATAAGATAAGATAATTCTTTATTACAACCTTATAGAATGAATTACATATCTATTTGGTTTATAAAATGTAATAAAGGTGTTAAAATATAATATAATGTGACTAGTGGTTTATATGCACTCCTATTACAGATGCATTTCTAGTGGGTAAATATGGTACCATATTTATTTCATTATGTATCTGATGTTTGTCCTTCACATCTTCTCTGTATGACCTGTGTTCTTATGCTTGACCAGTCAAATCAATATGCGGCAAAACACCACGATCCATGACGCTCTCATACACTGTATCATAATATTCATCGTTACACTTGAATAGGTCCTTTCAACTTCGTTTACAGATTCTCAAGCAATTTAACTAAATATATTTCAAACAGTATCATCTTTATGCTAAAAATTTGCCCGGCGGCTGCTCAGATGACACAGTAACCTAGACTCAATAAAGGCGTATAATTGCTGTACAATAAGGAACTGCTTTGAAGTTGTGCTTTATGAGTTTTAGATAAAGCAAAAAAAGCTCCTGTTAATGTCAATGTGTACTTGAGAATGTAGTATGATATGAATTAGATCTGCAGTACCTTGTGTTTATAGCAGTATGTTCATCTGTAGATTCATACTTCACATCATGATTCATATATTATTAATGAGTTATTACCAGGGTACTGCTAAGTATGCATGAAATCAATACTGCAAGAGTAACGACCGATGCGCAGTGGAGGTCGATGCAACTGCATACTGTCTCAGTGCATACTTTGCAGTATCCTCATAATGACCTTATTATTAGGATACATCATGGGAATGCCGAAATCCAAAAAGTTTAGAACAGGTTTAAACGAACTTTTCTGTATGGGGTCCGGTCAAACCCTGGGGGCAGGGTTTGTTTTTATTATTATTGTTATCCAGTGTATAATTCTCATATCGTAACTATGAAAACGTTACCATCACATGATATGGTGCATATCGTCACATTTAGTGTGAAATATCAGTTAGCACCTAAATCATGTGATAATGTTGTTTGCAATTCATTACACATTGAGTTCGTTGTGTTAACTCTGGATGTTTGTATGTGTGTATTTTGATTGTGATCAATTCAAATAAATGTGCCTTGAACGCAAAAGTACAATCAATTGTGTGGGTTGGGGGTCCATATATAGACCACCTGTCTATAAAGACCATTTTAACAAAGTTTCTTTTGCGGTTGCTATACACAGGTGTGATTGTATTTAAAAACAAAATAAATAGATTAATAAAAAACAAGCTTGGATTTATTATAATCAGATTGTGTCATATGTTGTGATTTATAGTATGAGAAAATTCTGTCATTGACTTATATTTCAAATCTTTGTTGTTTCAGAGTTATCATAGTTACGATTGCTGATAGCCATCCACTCATCAAAAATAACAAGACAATCAAGAATGTGACATTCCAAGTAACCAAAAACCTCAACAGAATGGACAACAAAGTTTCAGGAAAGGGAAAAAAGGTGAAGTTGTACTCTCATGTTATTATTTAATAATTCTAAAATAATCCTCCTTATTTTTTTTGGGGGGGGGGGTGCACAATGTATATTGACAACATTGCTCACATACACACATGCAATCAAATAATGGCTGCCAGTCTGCAATTTTGGATCTACTCCTGAGCAAAATTTAATGTCAAGTTTGCAATAGTGTTTTTTTAATGACCAAAATGGTTGGTTAATCACACAGAACTTGATGTGCTGTATGTCTTGCATTCGTAGCAAACGTGGATCTTAATTGTGTCATAAAAAAACACCACAATTGATTACGAGAAATATGCTTCTGCCAATCTGCCTTCAGGTTGCCATAGTTTTCACTCATCACAACTATGGCTTTGTGAGTTCACAAAATATGATTTAGGTGATGAATAGACTCAGAACAAATTAAAGGATAATTTATGTATCAAAACTCTTACGTTTTACCATATTGGTTTGAATACTAATTCATTTTGACAGAGTATACACAGTGGGCTAATGAGACAGGTCCTCTATGCATTATTACTTGATAGCTCACGATCCAAGTGTATGTTAGAAAAAAGATGATAGACGACAAATTCACCAAGTGAAAAGTTTTTTATGAACTGAGTTGTAGTGCAAAATTTGATGACAATTAATTAACAGTATGTGTTCTTGAATAAATTTTATAAATTTTGCATGAGTTTTGCTTGCTGCTACAATTATGTAACAATCAATTCACTTGTTTGAGTTTCCCAGTAAGCTTTTTGGTTTTCAAGAGTCTTATCTGAAAGTCATCATCACTAAGGATACCCAAGGGCATCAAATGAATTAGTCCCATGTTCTTGGTATAAAACCCTATGTCCAGTAACCATCCAGCCAACCAGACTGTGTAAACAGAAGCTGAGGGCATCTCTATGATGCAATCTTTAATTTCTTTTGTATTTATGTACGTACTTAAGTTCATTCTGAATGTAATCTGCCATGCGATTAAACTGATGAATGCTGCATCGTTTGTATCTGGTTCGCCATCCAAGTTATTTCATGTATTGCAGACTTGTTCAAATAATACTCCCTATTTCTTATTCTGAATGCGTGTTTTAAGAGGTTATCACGAGAATGCTGCAAAGTATGCATGAAGGCAGTATGGTGATCGTATTGACCGATGTTTACTTCTTGTGATAACCTTTTGCGATTCTGTATCGTGTGACGTCAATAACCTTGAACCTGTCAATGTTGGTGAAATACTTTAAGGACAAATTTGATACTTTTAGAAACAAGTGCTGATACAGCTCTTTACGGAATGACAAATTCTATTGTTTTCAGTGTAATAATAATTGCACTCATCTTCTCGTATTCAGCCATCATTTCACTGCTATACCTAAGCAGATCCTGCTCACTGAATGGGTTTTAAAGTGCGCCATCATTGGCAATTTGATATGCCACCATTTTGTTTTATGACCATGGCCATATTTTATGCAAAATCTGATTGAATGTATGTCATAAATGTGATTTTTTCTTGATCTATGTGTTTCACTAAGGTCAAATACTTTTGGTAGAATCACACAAGGGTATATGTTTACATTGAGTTTGTGAAACTGTGCAATTCATTTGATGAATTAGTTTAGAATATAAAATGCCAACACATTAATCATTACATAATATCTTAATCAATGAATTATTGTTTGATACTGATCATTTCGACAGGGTGGGCAGTGGGTGAATGAGACAGGACCTCTGTGCATCATTACCTGTGACGATGACTCGCAATATACGATTTACAGCTGTGTCAATGGAAAATTAGTTGAAGTGAACGAGAAACTTCTTTCAGTGCCAAACTTAATCAATGAAAAGGTAAGATTTCAGTCAATACATTTCCATCTTGTCTCATAGCATCAAACGTGTTTGTAAAGTGCATCTTTTCTATATGATTTCAATCATGTATATAATTCACACATCAATGAAACTGATCTTTAAAAAAGAGTCTATGGACTTATCCCAAAGTGTTATTCTTAGACAGGTTGTCTTTATATTTATAATGTATTTAAATTTTCATAAAATTTTTAATTATAAACTGATATCGAAAACACTCAACTACATTTATGTATGTTTATGTGTAGTATGTTTATTCCAACTGACAGAACTTGTCAAGATACATTGTCTATTATCTTCATTTATGTTTTATTAATTTAAACTAATATTCTCCTATCTGGTGTCTCACATATAACATTTCCTTTTATAACATTTCAATTTAAATAGATCAAAATTTTCATAATTATCATTTATAATTCATTTATATACTTGTTGTATACAGGCTTGCCCCTAACATGTATTTTTTACTGAACTACTGAATTTGTCCCCAGACTGTTTGCATCAGCCTTACCCAATGTTAACACTTCTGCATCAGATTCTAATTAATACAAGGTGTATAATAACATACCACAGTCTAGTCATATAACATCAGTGCATCCTTTTTCATGTCAAGTACATGGTGTTTAGGTAGTTGAATGTCTGATATGTTATAATCATAATAAAAAAAACAGGTTTTAGCATGTCTAGTGTATTATAACAAAAAGTTTGCTTACATGTATTGAAACTTATTTGTAACAGCTACTAGTACCAGTAGTTCACATACAATTGATAATACTTGTGCAGTTCATGTCTGGTGTATTTTATATAAACTCAATGTAAATACATACTGTATGTAATTAAAGTTCCCAGATTACATTATAACAACAAATTTGGTAAAAACAAAAGTGCAAACAATATGTAGATACTAGAAAATGACACTTGTGTTCACTGGTTAACAATTGCGTATACATTACTAAATTATTTGAAAATTGTATTGTAATTAATTACTTTTCAATTTTGTTTCAGCCCAGTACAGATGGTTTCATCTCAATCATTCTTCCAAAATTTGGTAATAGTGATCCACAAATGGAAAAACTTCTAACAAAAGACGAGTATGAGAAAGAAATATTGAACAGGGCACAAGAAGATAAAAACAGCTAATAATTACTGCTCTTAAATTGTATGTTTTCAATTCTCAAATTAGTTTTTATATTGTTCATATGTATTTATTTGTTTAAAGTCTGAAAACGAAGACTTCTACATTCACCTCTGTGCATCGGTGTATCTGTCTGACCTAATCACATGTGAACTTCATACATACATAATACATATATATATATATATATATATATATATATATATATATATATACATGCATTCATTTTTTGATATAATAAAACTAATTATGCATCAAAATCAAGCATTTCTGTTCTTAGTTGTGCCTTGCGATTGCTTTCATACTTGGTACATATGATATAAATCATGAAACCTTGATGAACATCATTTTTTAGGGTTTGATTTAAAAATGGTTGTTGACCATTTTGCTTCAATAAATGCTGTTCTGAAGCCATATTTCTAGCATACCTGCACTGGCCACTATCAAACGTCATGCATGCATTACACATTATGTCACACACTTATATATACACTTGGTTTCATTTTCAGACGAATGACATTTCAGTGCTAAGCATGCCCCAAAGTCAAGCATTTCTGCCATTCCAGAACAGGTTACCAGCCGTGCATTACCAGATTTCGGTAAAACTAACAAATAAATGTTTATGTATATGTTTTGTACAAGTTCTGCACCAGTCAGTATGTCTATAATTAATACATGATACTCAGTGACTTAAATAAATGTACAGATTAATAGATTTTGTAGTTGCATACATTGTAAATTGTATGCCCTCACACAGTTGTTTTCAAAATATATTTACATTTTTATAAAGACATTATATATGACAGGATTATTCACAAATGCCATTCGATAAACTACTTTGGTAAAGGTTTAAAGCATTTATAACAGATTCATCGGTGAGTCCAGGACATTGACAACTTTCTAAGCAAGAGCAATGACGTTTTTCTCGATTACGAGATCTTACTAAAAATAAAACTGACTTAACCGTAGAATGCGGCACAGCGCGTGAGATCAAATATGGACAATGTGTGCAGACGATAACCCTATTTACTTTTATTATTTTACTGTGATTTTCAGTGATTTGTTGTGAATCTCATAGAAGTTTATTGCCAGAACAAAATCCTTGAGGAATATTTCACAGCCACAAAAATTATAAATACGCATATCGCTATTTGGTTTACTCATTTGTTTGTCAGAATCTAATGCAATCATGACGTAATATTCAGTGACGTGTTTCAATCCACTCAACTCAACTTTCTTCTTCTGAAATTACCTAGTATTTTCCTACAACTACCACCCACCCCTGAATTTGTATTTGCGTGTTTCTTTTCCGTGAATAGAGTTTTAATTTGTATTCAGATATCCAGTATCAAGATGAACACATTTAAAGAAGTAGAGCTAGTATGAAGGATTTTTTAAGGTTTGAATATTTGGAAGAGACTATTTTAGTACATTTGTTCTTACCAAATTTACATATTATTGTTAGGGGACGTCATACCGAAACTTTGAACAAATTATTATTGAATTCCTGGTGGACCAAAAGATGGAGTACGTACCAGATATGAGTTTGGACCTATCGAGTGACGATAATCTATTTAGCAGTTTCTGAAGTTGTCACGGATGACCAATATCCAGTTACCCCTCACACGCGAGAAATGCCCATCAACGAATGCCACGCGAAAAAAACACATTTAGATCACGTATTGTGTGTTACTGGAAACAAATAAGTAGTTGATTGGATAGATGCATCTTTGAAATGGAAAGGTTGTGCTTAAATGAAGTCTATATGTACATGCCACGCAATATATGGTTGGCATATCCCACGCCCGTATCTCACGCAGCTGCTGACGTACGCTGGTTGGGTCTACTACAAGAGCGCCAACTAGCTTCTAGAATCAAACTCTCCTAGCACTATGTGAACAGCCTATCAGCCAATCTAAAAATCCAAGAAGGAATAATATCAAAAAAGGATTGCTATATTCCACACAAGACATTTACTAATTGCTTGGTTCATCTTGAACCACTGGCAGTAATGGTATTAGTGATGATACCAGGTGTCCAGAACGAGTAAGCAAACTATGCTATACGTTATATTTGTTCAACGTATTTGTATTGGAAACGCCGCGAGTTCTTATGGGTTTACAGATAGTACCAGTGTGTAAGGACAATTTGCGGAAGTAAATCGTTTTGGTTAAACTACGAGATGCGCAGCCTCAATATTTACTATCGATTTCATCATTTTTCTGTTGTGTGTATGTGAATTGTCCACAAATCCTATCGTGTTTTCTGTTTGCGTATATTATACTAGTAACTTATTTTCCGTGCATGTACAATTTGGTCGATGATCCAATGAGAGAAAAAAATGTACACGGTGAACCTGATACATAGTGCATGTGCTACGATTTGTAATAAATTGCTTACATTGGTTGGTTGGTAAATGTCACGAATGTGCAGCTTTCTGTGTATTCTGAAATATCTACATACAAGTTTAATCGCTGAACCATAACAACCATACTAAACAATTCTTAGATAACTGTCACTGAATGGGAAAAAATTAGTAATTTCTCCCATTCAGTACTTAAATTGCTGATTACATTTCTCAAATATTTACCAGTTGAGTCGGAGAACGTATACATGACAGAATTTAATATGTTTATAAAAAAATAAGGAGCAATTAAGCACCTGTAATAAATAATAAATTACATTTCACCAGCATTCTGGTAAAATATTGCAAAACATACTTTTGAAAAACATGCAAAATACTCTGCGAATGTGCAAGTTTCAGAGAAATGTCCAATAGTACAAATCAAATAGCGTTATAGATAATTTGTAGTGCTTTGTGATACATGCATATATTAGGGCAACTCTTTGTGTTTCCTCATCTATCACGTGTTTAACTCAGTCGGTAAAGTGACTGCTCCACAGCATGGCTGATTTGAAAAAAACGTGATTCGACCTGGAGCTATAAAGCTCCTATTAACTACATGGTTGCCCCTGCACTCGTTCACCAACTTCTTCTGAAACTGATTGACCAGTAAACGCGAACAGTGTTTGCAACAAACAAACGTTCACATGACCGGGAGAAGTTGTTAGACATGTATGTTTGTTTATGCAATCAAAAAAACTCGTAACAGTGCGAGTGTTTTAAATAATCTGCGATTAACCCTAGCTTCATGGATAATTTACTATGTCTCTTAAGAGATAATTATCTAAATGCTCTACAATATCTTAAACATAATAATATATATTATTTTTCTTCAAATAATAGAGGGAGGAAAACGTCTGATGTCACCAATTTGAAATTATATACGTGTGTTTTGAAGCACCGTGACTTGATTAAGGATTCCGTGAATTCACACGAATGCGAAAATAAGGCTGATAATATTTGTGTACAATGTGTGTACCAATCAGAATGCCTACAGTCCGTCGTGCCACTGGATGTGATGCCTTACTTAGATTTACCATGTGGTATTTAAATTTAGTACATAATGTTCAAAAGTCAAATATCCTGATGGATTGTAGCTGACACATATTTGCTAATAAAAAATCCCCATTTGATTTCAGTCATTCGTTTCTTAAAAAACCGTGCCAGCACATCGATTAAGGTCAATGCAATTCGTAGTTAATATGGTAGACACGTGTTTGCAAGCACATGTACTCGACCTTGAGTTTGGAGATCTATTACTCAAATAATAATCATCACATAAGCTGCCATTTTTTGCAATAAAGCTATTGTGATCTTCCAATTTGCTTGTTGACAAGCACGATTTGCAATGGCAGCAACAATTATTATTATTTGAGAATTACTATTAAAGAACGCAACTTTAATAGCATTCAATATCAAAGTTGGTTCACAATGTTTTTTTGTGAAAGGATTTGTAACGCAATAGTTTCGGACAAAAGCTGTTTTGTATCACCATTAGAAATAGACTGATTACCCCCCACATGTATATTCATATTTTATGTTTCAGTGTGCCGCAATCATACAATCTCATACATATCGGTTCCACAGAGTACACATTGAAAAAAAATCTAAGTAATTTGTTCTGTGTATGATATTAGCGAGCAATTGCTTTATAGATCAATATTGTAAAATCGTCGACATTAATTGGTTTATGAGTGTATTATTCTAATTAATCAATATCTCATACCAGTACCTCGAAGCAATATATTTGACTAATATCTCTGTTTACTGAAAACACGTCATGACTCTGTTCTGTTTATTTTCTTATGCTAAGGCGTCACTTGTATGTGTTCGCCACGTGTACGTCGATGATTATATAGAGCTTCTCGTACTTTTATGAGTGCATTTGTTGCCATTAATTCTTCACTTTAATGATGGCCATTTTTCGGTTGTCTGTCAGAAGTTGTTAAAAGAAGCATAAATATTACACGTGATAACAGTGGGATTCTTGTCAATGGTTGCCTCTCTAATACCACACGTCATCAATCTGTATGTAGTTGACCTCTGACACTTGCCATAGCTTATGCTTTCCCCCATTAAACCGGCTTGACCAGGTGTCCACTATTTCCATGCCATGTTGTCTACTGCACATTTATGTTAATTAGAATCTGTTTGGATGAATGATACTTCAGACGTTCTTAATTCGAGTTGGCCTTCGCGCGTACCAATATGACTTTGTCTTTAGTGTACTGATTATCTCAAAAAATGGCATATGCGTAAATATTCCCCTGGAACAACTCCAGGTGTTAGTTCACGGCATACCGTTTTTTGAAAACACAAGTAACCTTGCTCTCTGACATTGAAAATACATCATTAAGATTTATCAGCTCCTGGGGTGTCGTGTATTACATTTAAGTCGCATGTTTATTAACAACATCTCTGGAAGTCGCAATGCCTGACAGATTCCGATTTCATCATCATTGAATACTGGTAATGTGTGCGTGATCAATTAATTGGACATATCATGTTTAGTTCATATTTCTCGGACATATATCTTACATATTTGTATACTACTGCTTGTCTTTATTAGATTATTCCCCTCTTTACTGTCGAATATGCAACAAACTATTAATCATCATTTTAAGAGGCGAGTAGTGAACTGTGACGAATATGGGTCATTTTGTTTTCCTCTCTGAGATTATACAGAGTTGTTTACGGGGAATTACAGTGCATGCAGCTATCGTTCTTGTACACGATACAATATTCACTTGTGACCGACTTTTCAGACATCTTTTATTGCAAACCAATAAACTATACATATTGCCCAAGTAGCGATGTATACCAGTTTTAAATCCCGTTTTACCAAATAAATCACGCAGTAACAGTAAGTTGGGTATTGGGTGATTGTATGAAAAAATATATACAATTGGACCTATTGGCCGTTACTGATACGTGATTCTATTAGTGAGTGTAACAGCATAGTTGTAAATGTAATTTCATATGCCTGCACTGTTTACTTACTACGATCGGTTTACTGAAAGGACAAACTAATTTGTGTTCAACTGACCGTATTTGTGGTCATGCTTGGCTAATGTTGATCGAAATTGTCAAAATAAGGTTTGAACATATAATGCGCTCATTGTTTTGGGTTGCGTGTGTCTACTTCAGTAATGAAATTCAACAAAGAGAACACTTGGGCTGTTACGTGTAACCTGCACCTAGATGTCCATACAATGATTGCAGTCCAACCATTTGAAGCACGGGCTTACTAGTGATGAGTTTTATGTAACATCCCAATATGATCGAATGCACAGTTAATTCTAAATGCTCACTGAAACATTAGTCTAGATCGGGTAGATAAAAATGAAGGTGCCGAATTTTAGAACGATCGTTCTTCTTTAAAGCGCGGTGGTCGTCGCGCAGCGCGTGTTCGAATTTCATGTAAATAAACAATGTATTTTACACGCGTTGTATACGTCGCTATGAGTCCCATATCGAACAGGACGCGGCAAGACGACTGCCACCCGTTAAGACTCGAGTCTGGCCTTAGGTATATTTAGCAGTTGTGCATTTGATGATCTGATTTTATTTATTGAAGTATGCGATGTAAAGTGGATCTAGCCCACGTAGTGTGGTTAGACAAAATTGGAATTGAATAATAAGGCTGGTCGCCATAAGATTTCTTCGGAGATTGGTGGTAAGGACACCGGGGATAGGAGCCATGCAATGAAGCACGCAATTCCTATAATATGAACCTGTCGTGGGATTATGGGATCAGGTAAAATATTAACCCGAAACACCTAGTGATATTCAATATTTTCACCACCTCGTTTGCAAGTTCTTAATTCTTATTAAGAATTGTCTTCGTCGATATTGTGATACTGTTTATGTAACTAATGGGATTATTCAAATGAGATTATTATTTTTTTTATATTTTACACAGCATAAACTTAATTCTAGACTAGCTTCATTAATAAAGCAGGCCTCAATTACGAAAATGATATACAGAGATATAAATTTATTGTGAACACAACTCTGGATATTTTAGCAATGCATAGATACAAAACAACAATATACTGATGTTGAAATTATGGTTAAGGTAAATTTTCTCATTGACAGTATATTTGTCAAGTTTGGTTAGTTCGTATTTAGACAGACTATTTGTATTCCAATGGACACAAACTGTGCACCACTTCTTGTACGAGGTCGAATTTACACAATCTAGTTAAGACAAAGAAGTGTTGCTATGTGTTCCAACAACATGTACCTGCCAGGTAAATTGGAGAACTCTTGAGTTTAAATTTCTCGTTATCTTCATTTGAACTAACCCTGATGGATTCAGCTTCATATCTTGATATGTTTCCCCAAATAAAATTGATTATTAATTTACCCACTGTTAAGCTATATGATGAGCGAGATGATTTCAATTGGAAATTATCAGTTTCCCGTATCTTTCAAGTAACATTCCCTCGGCTCCATCTCAGGGTGTATACATGTCTCAAATTAAGATACGGTGGACCATGTAGGTCATGTGACAAAAAAAGTGTTTTTGGAAAACATGAACAGATAATTACCAAATATTACTTCAAAGCAAATTATGCGAGACAACACCCCTAATTACGTCTCTTATATAGATCACAAGATTAGATAATTATTACTTGAAAGGTATTAACAATATATTAGAGGATGATGGGTTCCGCACTCATTTCGCACGCCTGGTAACACCGCTGAGACGTTGCTGATTCATGTTAAGGTCAGTTTTCTATTTTTTTAATGATCTGCACCTCGTGCGTCTAGCAACATTCTGTTGTGACGCTCCTATTTACTGTATGCACCTTCAATCAAGTCTGATTAATTCAGCTGGATTGCTGTGGGTATTTCGTAGCATCCGAGTAAATATATTGTTGATTGCAGTGACGTAATTTCTGTCCAGTTTACAGTTCCTATTCTGGAGCTTCACTTGGTTACAGTTAGCTGGCGAATGATAATAAATAAACATAAATGCGTATAATATACCGATGTTCAAAGACCAAAATCTTGAATCCTAGTCAAATCAAGGCAAATAGAGACAGGCTGAGAAACGTTTTTTTTCTAATTCCCACAAAAGTATTCCACGTTTCGTGTATTTACCTGTTATTACATGATATAGCCATTATTGAACCGGCGTTTAGGCTATACAATACAATACCTCAGAGCCCCGGCTATTAGACGACATCTGAGCTGTGCTTGAGGTCAATCCACGAGCAAACAACTAAGACGACCAAATTAGGTGAACACTTTCCCGTTTATAATCGGATCGTTTGAACAACAAACCTCGGGAACAAATCCACCATGATTTTTCACTTTAAGAAATCAATCTGAAAAATCGCCTACGAATATATTTTAGTCGGCAAAAAAGCGATTTATTTTTCGAATGTGCAACTACACGTATTTTACAAACTATTGGGATACTATAATTGTAATTGCTCGACCGGGGATGTTCTCTGTAAATAATGGGAACAACGTCCACATGTTCACACTGCTATCACGCATTGATGGGGAGGGCGTCACCCGTATATCCTAAATATGTCATCGACTGGGTCAAGGCTTTGTTGTCAATGTATTGACTCGTTTTTGAGGTATTATCGCGTCGCCATGAATGGGTCAGGCAACTAGTTGCCCGCCACACCAGTTCCAAATGTACCCTTCCACGAGTCAACATATCAGGCGCAGTCGAACAGATCAAAACGTTTCTGTCATTGACCTAAATTAAGGAAGATAGAATTAAAACTGTGGGAATTATTTTTACTTTTCTACTAATTTTTTTTTCATGATGATGTTGCTGTAAAAAAACGTTTGCTTCCCAAACCAACGAACTGGATTTCACGATGACGTGAATTTGATATTTAGACATTTATAAATATTTATAAAACATTTATTCTGAACATTTTCGCGTTGCATTCAAATCCAATGAAGATGCTTTCATTGGCATTTTGGTAACGCCAATTGCCCATGAGTGAAAGGAAAGGTTAAAGGTTAATTTACTGCAATGGAATTCTGAATGGGGGGGGGGGGTATTTTTCTGCGTGTGACCGGTCAAGTTGTTTTCAATCGCCTGACGAAAAAAAGGAAATTTTTTATATAAAGCAAATTTATGTACATGTCATGTACATGTCATTTCCCCTCTTGACACTTATTCATTTTCATAAAGATTCAGCATATCAATAAATATTTTTTGTAATTATTATTACTAAGCTATCATATGAAATACGCACGTGTGTAATTTGATTTTGATTAATTAAAATATTCGACGTATGCATCCAAATAATGAATCAACATTAATGTTTATGTATTACTCAATTCCGTATACACCAATACACATAACAAGTTATATCTTTTCCAAATCATACATTTATACATTCTTTAGAATTTGACAGCATGTTGAATTTCATAGCTGAACTACTCTGCTATTTGATATGCTTAGCAACATATCCTGTAAGCCCTATGCAGTAGAGTCTATGCATGGTCAACATTTGTTTGTCATAAATTATTTGTTGGCACGTTGTGATTCTGAGTAGAGAGGCATATTATTGTTACATTAGAACATCTGGTCGATATCGGGTTCTTAACCATGCTTTTATTAGCAAACGTGTATCAACATTCACATTCCTGTTTGATCGGTGACATTAAATGGATATCTACTCTTGATATGAACGATACATACAGTAGCTACAAATAAGTACATAGATACGTATACGCATTTTGTTGAAAATACTCATATTCATACTGGCATTATCCGTCGATATACACACATGTAAATAGTAGAATCATCTATTTCATAGAGCATTATTATATAAGTTAGCAAAAGTTTGGTCAATCTAAGTGAGTGATTAAGACCTTGCAGAAACAAAAAAAAACAATCTTATATACATTTTTTCAAATTGTGATTTCCTAAAAGAAATAACAATAGATAAGTCTATTCACCTAATTTCCAAGCAATCACCCATTGTTATGTAAATATGTCAACTGGGATTATCCAATGACAAGCAAGTTCCACAGTAGGTATACTAACTATACAATTGCATAACAACCAATTACACAGATCCACTCCTTGCACAAAGCAATCTGTGTTTTCATTAAGTATGATGATGCATTATGCAGCATCTGTGTTTACAAAATGAATTGAAAAAAAACTAAGTTCTTCTTCGCTACCTTAAGGAAGTAAAAGGGAAGGGTTTTAATCTGAGGCACTAAGGAGAAAGGTTATGTGGAAGTGTCCGGCATTCCACACGTGTTATTATATTTATTTGTCACTGATCCATTCCTGGTCCACTATTTCTGTCTAATATAACACTAAGAATGGGACAGCCATATTACAGTTTATACAATCGCGTCACGGATAACCATATTACTCTAATCTGTTTTTTATCGCTTTCTTTCTTCTCACTTCTCTTGAATTCCACGACGGCAGGCCAAAATCCAAGTACTCTGATATTCAAATATTTATTCTCAGTAAATGTCGCGTTAATATATTTCTTTCGCGTGTAAATTGTTTGTTTTTACACCCTTGGGAGTGTGACAGCTATCCGCCCTGGAAACGCAAGGGATATAAATAATGTACAGCTTCAAGGCACAACAGTGTTTTTGTTGTCAAGGCAAGCAGTTCAACTTCCGATGCAGCACTCGTTGAATCATTGTTAATTTAAGAACATTCACATTTGATTGTTACCATATCTGGCACTACACCAAACATTATGCTTTTTTCGTCTATAAAGTAGATCATCGAAATTGGGGACATTTCTGAACCAGTACAGCATCGTCCTGCGTGTCCTCGTGGGTTAGCCCTTTCAACGAAATAGCTGTGGGCATTTTGAAGATTGTAAACATTGGGACACTCCCCTGCGCAGTAGTAAGCGGAATAGGTCTTGGGTGCGATTATCCAATCCCAGGTGAGTTCCACAAAGTCAACAACTAGTGGATATCGGCAACACCGTTCCTCTTCCGATTTCTCATCACAGTTTAGTTCTGGTGATCTTTTATGTCTCAAGTTGTGTTGACGAGTGCGTAGTTCCAGATAGGGCATCTATGTAAATGCAAAAAAAAATATGATGAAGAAACTAAAATTGTGTAAAAGAGCAACAAATAATATCATTAATATGGTATTGATTCTTGTTGATGTTAATTTCTGGTACGATTAACCAAACCCGAGCCAAACTGTATCCATGATGTTGGATTATGGGAACAACGTTCCTTTGCTATATAATTACAAATACGCATAACATAGTTATATCAAATAATTTGTCGTTTAGTTGTGATGTCCAGCTGCTAATTTCCTCGGGTGATATCATGTGTTGTCTGAGTGGCCAATAAACGTTGCACAAGTGTTCCACCTGTGTGAACAAGTGAATGACTGACTGATTAGCTAATGTACTCACGCGTTGATGGTCTTCGGAACCCCAATCGGAACTTGTGACAACCACTGAGTTGCCTTCATGGTCCGTTGCATCAATATCTAATCCCCAGTTGCTTTCATGGTCATGAAACCACCCGAACACGACACGTTGGATGTCAAACTGTTCCCAGTGACCCTTTCTGGAACTTAGTTCTATTTTTCTGCTACAAGCAATTTTGTTGTAGTGGTGTTTCCCTGGTGGTCCAAGCTCATAAATGTGTAACCAGGTTGCGGTGGTCTGTACTGCTTCTTGCTGTCTAATATAAACATGTAAACGAGCTTCTATTATCTGTGCATCTCGCACTTGAGGGGAGAATTCGAAGAAAGAATAGCCGTGCGATGTGTGTTCTGGTTTCATGAACTTATTTGGATCTGCAAGAAAAGAAGAAAATAACTTCACGTATTAATTTTGAGGTGTTAGGCAACAAATGTGGTACATTCATTTAATTTTTCTTTTAGACTATTATATTTTATAATTCATCGCCGAACCATTGTACTTGTACAAATATGTTGGTAATGAGAATACGTATGAAGCGAAATAAATTCATATTTATGGCTGAGAATTAATAATACTCATTGCTTTGGGTAAAAAAAAATGGTTACAATTTGGACGTGTTTTATTATGCTACCATCCAATGATGATTATTGATTGCTTTATAGCATTATGACTATATAGAACTATAAATATTATGGCAAATGAAAGATTTTTCAATTAAATACAAGATATTTTTAAGATACCAGTGTTGTACATGGTCTCAATGATTATTTTATGGGAAATTATGTTATATTTTTTGCTTAAAAAAA